AAAAAAAAAAAAAAAAACTTTGAGACACTCTTATACCCTAAATTTTCAAAAGTTTCAATAATATTTTTAAACTTTTAACAAAAAAAATCTAAAAAATAATATTTTTAAACTTTCAACAAAAAAAAAATCTAAAAAAAAAATTAGTTTTGATTGAGTTTAATGATAATTTGTTTAAACACTCTTTGAACTTAAAAAAAAAATTCATTAATACCCTTTTACTTTGTTAAAAAAGTTCAAAAATACCCCATTTAAAGAATAGCATTAACACCTATTATCATTGTAAAAAAAAAAAAATCCATCAATATATGGACGAAAATTGTTTTTGAACTTCATATTTAAACTTCATATATTATTTTTGAAAGTTTATGAGTATTTTTAAAATGAGGTACTAACCACAAATGTACTTTTTAAAATAGTTTAAAGGTGATTTTGAAGTGTCTAAAAGAGTGCAAAGATATTATTGAAAGTCCAAACATTTGAAAATTCAAAGATATTTTTGAAACCAAGTGTTAACTGTTTTAGCATCCAAAACTAATTATAATGATATTGATTTTTTTTAAGTTTAAAAATATTATTAAAAAAAATTAACGGTAAAATTTGAAGATATTTTTATTAATTTAGCCTTAAATTTTTCGTTCATTTCTTTAACCAATTCATTTAGAATTACAGTGCAAAGAAGTGAAAGTATAAATAAAAATAATACATAAATAATTAATTTAGAAATACATAAAATTAAAAAGAAACAATGGATTTTCGTCCACATAATATAATTTGGCTTTAATGTAAATTTATGTATGGAAGATCCACCAATTCACCAAATACAACAATTTCAAACACTTGCACTCCCCAATTTAACCACCAACAATTTACGTATATATATATAAAAAAAAAAAAAAAAAAAAGAAGGACGAACACATTGACAATTATATCCTCATGATTACGAAAGAAATGACGAATTTACCCTGTGCAGTATTAAAAAGAACTGAACCGATTTTTTTTTACCGTGCACTGTCAAAAGCAAATATAATTCAGAAAAACAGACAAATTCAAATATCGAAATGACGAAAACACCCCTCTCCTAGCCGAGCCGGCGGGGATGCAAATAAACACGAAGCCCATTCTTCATAAAAAGAGTGAGAGACATCTTTTGTTCCACCCGGTGACCGGGAACTGGCGCCAGCCGGTACCGGAGAAGTACGGCAGAGGCGACGGACTTCATCTGCAAATAAGCCAAATCCTTCCCCAAACAAGTCCTCGGTCCAGCATTAAACGCCACAAACTTATACACATCCTTCTGCCCCTCGAACCGGTCTCCAGCCGGCGATAACCACCGGTCCGGTTTAAATTCCTCACAATCCTCCCCCCAAATGCTGTTCATTCTCCCGACCGAATAAATCGAATACGTCACAGTCGAACCGGCCGGCACAAAAGTGCCATCTGGCAACACGTCATCAGCCACGACATATTTGAAATCCTGTGGTACGGACGGGTATAGACGAAGCGTTTCAGCCAATGCGGCTTTTAAGTACACCAATTTGTCGGCCTCGTCGAACACCAACGGCTCTTCGATCCAACGGCGCATATCGTCGCCACGTGTTTGACGGAGGACCGTTGAGATTTCGGTGAGGATTTTTTCCTCTACGTGTGGGTGGTTCATTACGAGCCAAAAGAACCAGGTGAGAGCGACGGAGGAGGTGTCCCGACCGGCGAGGACGAAGTTTAATGCGATGCGGTGGAGCACGGTGGCGGAGAAGCGGTCGTCGTCGCGCTTCTTCATGAAGCGTGATAATAAGTCGTCTGAGGGAGATTCTTTACGGGCTGCAACGGCGTCGTTTATGTATTCTTCTACCACTTTCAGACACTTCTTCAACCTTCTTTCCATTCCAATCCCCAGAAGCTTCTCGAACCTCCATATAAGACCAGGGTAAAGAAGGCGCTGGAGAGTGGCCTCAGTGGCGGTGTCAAAGGCCAAAGCGAAGGAGTTTGTAGGCAATTCCGGCGACAGAGTTTCAGGATCTTTCCCAAAAGTCAGCCCACAAATATTATCAAAAGTCAACCGGAGCAACAAATCCTGCAAATCCACCGCCGTCTTATACTCCGCCGCCTTGTCCAAAATGCACCACAGTCGCGTCCTTATCGTCCGATTAACCCACCGATCCATCGCCTGCCGGAGCGTCCTCGTCGTGAACTCCAGCGCCGCCGTTTTCCGCTGAATCAGCCAAATTTCGCCGTCGCTGTTGAAAATCCCCTGTCCCAGTAAATCGTGAAAAGCCGCTTGCCAGTCCGGTCCTTTAGGGTAATTTTCGAACCGGGTTCGCAGCACGTGCTCGATGTTTCTCGGGTGGCACGTGACAGTGTAAAATCCTTGCTTTTTAGCAATGAATGGAACCGCCACTGTGCAGGTTTGGTACGTGGCAGCGGCGCCTGTGTCGCGGAGGTTCCCGGCCATCCAGTCATGGAGTCTCTGCCGGTTCGAGAAAAGAGCCGGTAGACTGCCGATGACCGGCCATACTCTTGGACCGGTGAGCTTACGGGCGAGGAAATAAAACCAAATCAAATAGGTGAGAAAGAGAGAGAGAAAAAAAGTGGGGAAGGGGAAAACGACGTCGTTGGCCATTGATGCGAAGGAGCAAGGAATTAGTGAGGGAAGAGGGAAAAATAGTGGATTTATAAAGTGAAAAAAAAATTGGGGAAAAAAGTTTAGGAAGAGTTGTTGGGAAAATTGAAAAAGAAAAGGTTTTGGAATTGGTAATAATATTGACATGCACACGGAAACTCATCCATTAGTATTATTTTCTTTAGTACTCATAAGCAAGTTTGTTTTTTTTTTTTTAAATAAATTTTCTTTTAGTTCAAGAATATTTGGGGTCGGGTTTAGGGTTTACACAGTACAAACATAAATAAGTGTATGACAAATTAGAAATTCTTTAAAAATAATTATTTATTATGTGACGGATAGTTTTACACTGTTAAATGTATGAAAGAGAAACTATAAAAGTATCTTGAATTTATATCCTATAGTTATTGTAAAGCATGTATATTCCTATGAGAAAGTCATTTTATAAATTATTTTAGTGTTTATGAAACGATGCGTGTATATATATACATATTTGAAATTGCCCTTACCGCTAGTAGAACATGGATCAACGACATGGGCCCGTTAAATTCATAAATAGGCACGAGTAATTTATGAAGTAGGGCAATGATGTAAGGTTTTTAGAGAAGAAGTGAACAAAATGTTCTTCCACCTACTAAAAAAAGGCAATGGATACACCTAGAAAAGCTTAAGGTTAATTACAAAGAAAGAGGGTTTTGGGTGGTTAGATTTGGTCCAACTGCCATGGGAAATTAGGGTTTCCTCTTCCAATGCATTTGCCCAAAAACAACATAATAAAAACAGTAAACTGTAAAAAAAAAAAAAAAAGATGAAACTGTAAAATAGAAATTACATAAAAAAACAAAAATGGACTCTACCAATTGATTTGACTCAACAAAAGTTCTAGCTAAATTGGGAAACTTCTTAAAAAAGACATCATTTCTGTCTTTATTGGTTCAGTTTAGAAACTTTGTTAAAATATTAGATGAATTTTTAAATGGAACCATTTTTTAAATAATGAAATGTTAAATATTAATCTTAGATGTTTCATTTCTTAGAGATGGAAATCATACGACAACTAATATGTAAAAACCGAAATACAAATGTGACATGATATTATTTAAGTGATCATATAATTGGTGTATAAAAATTAATTATGGTTTTAATGATATACCTTGAGATAAAATAAATAGTAACAATAATTTTCTATCATTGGTGTATAAAAATTAATTACGGTTTTGATCAGGTTAAGTGAAGGCCAATATGAATGTACGCTCGATGGATCGTCGACCAAAACAATAGTCACGAGCAGCGTAGAGGCGTTGTTTCTGTATGCAAACACAAACAAAAAACAGAAAAGCACGCTCCCTACGCAGGCATTATCCTGTTCAGGTTCAAAGGGACTATCTCAGCCTGACCAGTTAGCCCCGGACGAGGAGCTACACTTGGTCGAGGCACCCCCGGTGCATTTCTTAAGTTAATATGATGAAAAGGACAAGGTCAAAACATAAAGCAAAGTAACAACTTTTTCTTAGTTCCAATAGATAGAGAAACAAAGCAGACGAACTTAAATACAGCCTGTGAAAGGGAATGAACAAGCTAAACTTTGTACTCTTCCATGGCCTGAAGCTGGAGACTCGAGCGAGTATTTAATTTCAGTTTTGGTCATCCAATCATCGATGCCGAGTCTCCTGCACTTCCAACCCTCTTCTTCGTGAGCAGTCCTGCATATTAGTATACCGTAAGAACCAACAAAAGGAATTAACTCATTCATATATATGAGTCTCTTTGTAAGAGCTCAACCCCACCGCTAGATGATATTGTTTGCTTTGACCTGTTACGTATCATCGTCAGCCTCACGGTTTTAAAACGTGTCTGCTAGGAAGAGGTTTCCACGCCCTTATAAGGAATGCTTCATCCCCTCTCCAACCGATGTAAGATCTCACAATTCACCCCCCCTTGGGAGCTAGCGTCCTTGCTGGCACACCGCCCAGTGACCGACTCTGATACCATTTGTAACAGTCAAGCCCACTGCTAGAATATATTGTTCGCTATGGCCTATTATGTATTGCTGGAAGCCTCATGGTTTTAAAACACGTTTGCTACGAATAGGTTTCCACCCCTTATAAGGAATGTTTCGTTCCCCTCTTCAACCGATGTGAAAGCTCACCCTTAAAGAACCAATATGAGAACGCGTGGTACCAAATCCTTTCAACCAAGGAGTAAAATCAAAAGGCCAAAAGTTTAGTGATTACTAACCTTCACCTCTTCAGGGAGTCCATGTAGCTTGCAGGCAAGTAGATTTCTCCACCAGTTTCACCATGTTGTTCACCACTAACGGTTTTCTTTGCAGCCAAGAACTCAGCACTCATAGCATCCATCCCTTGCTTCAGAGCTTCCTCTGCACTCCCGTACCCGTGTTCTTCAGCATACTTCCGCACATCCTCGGTTATCTTCATGGAGCAGAACTTAGGTCCACACATGGAACAGAAGTGAGCCACCTTGGCACCTTCTGATGGCAAGGTTTCATCATGGAAGGACATGGCAGTCATAGGGTCCAATGACAAAGCAAATTGATCCATCCATCGGAACTCGAATCTCGCCTTGCTCAGTGCATCATCCCATGATTGAGCATGTGGGTGACCTTTGGCTAGATCAGCTGCATGAGCAGCTATCTTATATGCTATTACTCCAGCCTTCACATCATCACGATTTGGCAATCCTAGGTGCTCTTTCGGTGTAACATAACAGAGAAGAGCCGTGCCAAGAGCCCCAATATTGGCAGCACCAATGGCAGAGGTAATGTGGTCATAGCCAGGAGCTACATCCGTAGTTAAAGGACCGAGAGTGTAGAACGGAGCTTCATTACACCACTCGAGCTGTTTTTGCATGTTTTCAGGGATCTTATGCATCGGAACGTGTCCAGGTCCTTCATTCATTATCTGAAACTCAAATATGCAACCACTAGTTAGTAACACGGAAGATACATCATTTCCTAGTACCTAAAATGAAAATAGCAGATAATAATGTCAGCAATCACGACTTTCCACAATAGTATGATATTGTCCATTTTGAGCACAAGCTCTCATGACTTTGTTTTTGGCTTATCCAAAAGGCCTCATACCAATGGAGATGTATTCTTTACTTATAAACCTATGATCTACCTCTTAATTAGTCGATGTGGGACTCCTCCTTTCAAGAATCCTCAACAACTCCCCCTCGAACAAAGTACACCATAGAACCTCCTTTGAGGCCTATGTAGCCCTCGAACAGCTTCCCCTTAATCGAGGCTCGACTCCTTTCTATGGAGCCCTCGAACAAAGTACACCCTTTATTCGACACTTGAGTCAACTTTTGACCACACTTTCGAGGGTTCCAACTTCTTTGTTCAACATTTGAGGATTTTATTGATATGGCTAAGTTAAGGGCATAGCTCTGATACCTTGTTAAGAATCACGACCCTCTACAAAGGTATAATATTGTCAACTTTGAGCATAAGCTCTTATGGCTTTGCATCTAGCTTCCCCAAAAGGCCTTATACCAATGGAGATGTATTCCTTACTTATAAACTCATGATTAACCTCTTAATTAGCTGACGTGGACTCCTCCTTTCAATAATCCTCAACAAATAATTGCTTTTGAGAGTTTCCTAAATTCATGACAATTAGCACCAAATGTTTGAACATGCAGCCTTGCGTGGTTCTAAACAGAAGTTATAACTATGAGATGTTCTTTCAAATGCATATAACTAGGAGTAAATAGGTTTCCTCTTTAATGCATAAGAATAACATAGGTGTGATTGTGAGCATATGTATGTATGTAAGCAAGAGAGAAGATTATTCACAACCTGCACATCTTTTTCCCATGCTCTACGAGTCAGTTCGCCCTGAGTTAAGAGCTCTGCAAATTGAGCAGTGTCGTTGGCATCATAAATTGAACCAGGTCTCAGCCCGTCACCAATCGATAGAGATATATCGTACTGATTACAGATGTCAAGTATGTCGTCCCAGTGTTCGTAAGCAAAGTTTTCTTTATGATGGGCCAAACACCACTTTGCATGAATAGATCCACCACGTGATACAATTCCTGTCATTCTTTTTGCTGTTAGAGGGATGTATCGAAGTAAGACCCCGGCATGAATAGTAAAATAGTCTACACCCTGCTCAGCTTGTTCAATCAGTGTTTCCCTGAAAATCTCCCACGTGAGGTTTTCAGCTATTCCATTCACTTTTTCAAGTGCCTGATATACGGGAACGGTTCCTACTGGTACGGCTGAGTTACGCAATATCCACTCACGAGTTTCATGTATGTGACGACCGGTAGAGAGGTCCATGACAGTATCAGCTCCCCACATGGTCGCCCATTGGACTTTATAAACTTCTTCTTCAATAGAACTTGCAACAGCAGAGTTTCCAATATTTGCATTTACTTTCACCAAGAATTTTCTACCCACAATCATGGGCTCCAACTCCAAATGTTTCTTGTTGGAAGGGATGATTGCCCGCCCGCGAGCAACCTCTGACCTCACAAACTCCGGATCCAGCTTCTCACGAGTGGCACAAAACAACATTTCCTCAGTAATGATTCCTTGCTTGGCATAATACATCTGTGTGTATCTTGGTGCACCTAATTTGTCCCTCCTATCGACCCAGTCCTTCCGAAGTTTAGGCAATCCTATATAACATTACTGATTGTCAGAAACAATGTAAATCGGAAGACATAGGTAACAAGTATACCAGCATAGCCAAAAAAAAAAAAAAAGTCAGAAAGCAACATGTATAGAAATTGGATTACAAAAAAAAAAGTAACGAAATATCGAAGGACTTAGTTTCCCTCATAGAAGGCAATAGTACTTGCCACCATTTATGTCTCTATGGAGCCAGATAGCACTAGTTGGCATCTGATGTTTAGGGAAAAAATAGAACTCTTATGCAACAGACTTAAAATAACAGACATGTCTATCCAAATAGAAGAACTCCGTTCACTACATAAAAGTAAATAAATAAATTATAGCTACAAAGTCCGACTCCAAAAAGTTTACACAAAATTTATATTTTGAGTAAAAAAATATACGTTCATGAAGAATTAAGAAATGACAAACAAACCCAACATGTGCTACAACACAAAATAGCAAAAATGAGTCTTTTCAAGGAACTGTCAAATGCTGATCATCTTACCAGTACGCGGGCTGATGTTTTGAGGACCACTAGTGTCATAATTGTCAAAGTTTGGTTCATCACCAGATAGATGAACCCGACGAAAGGGTACTTTGAGCACATGCCCAGTTTCTTCGTGAACAACTTCCCTGCATAACAAATTATGCATCAATAATTGTCAAATGTAAGATATTCATCTATTTAGTTTTGCAACAATTACAAAAACTATGATACTCCAATGAATTCACTCACTTGTGTTCTTTTGTGCTTTTTGGGAAACATTGTTCAAATGAAGGAAGCGGCAGAAAGTCGGGAGATGAAGGATCAACTGTATGTTTATTGTTTTTGGCTTTCACTGTACTGTTTTCCATGGGTTCAGAGGTTAAAGTGGCTCTAGGAGTTAAGGTAATAGATGAAGGGTATGAGTTCTTGCATGCACCAGAAACACGTCCAACCACGTCAAACCCAGGCAAGAAGGCAGTATTTAGTGATTTCGTAGGGTAAGAATGGTTCCCACTCTTACCAACAGCTGGTGTTATGGTAGCATGAACTGACGCCATCTTTGATCTAGGTTGAAGGAAAAGAAAAAAGTTTCTTGATCTTTAAAAATGATTGTCAGAATTTGACACAAAGAGCTTCATAAATATCATAATATGTTGTTCAAAATCAGACTCCATCAGACCAAAACAAGAAAGAAAAAACAAAACATCTTAAATATCTTAATATATCGTTCAAAATCAGACTCCATGAAGCAGAACGAGCTACGAAAGTACAAAAAGCATCATCTACATACAGCTCAATGAACGTTTCAATCCAAGATTTCCAGTAGAATCCAGTTGATCAATCATAGAAAATCTTAAGCTACAAGAAGCAACGAAATGAGAAAAACAAAAAGCATGACGAGAATCCAGTTCAATGAACAGGTCAATCTAACATTCAAGTAACAGGTGGAAGAAAAAGCAACGCCGATGAAAGCAGATACTACACGAAACGCTCAGAAAATAACAAAATCTTTAAATGATACAGAACATTCAGTTCAATCGCCGATCAAAAACACAACTCCATCATTAAGGCGGAACAACGAAAACTCGAGCGGAAATAAAATCATCAAACGAAAACAGCAGTTCAAAGACAATAACAAAGCAATCTGATCGAAGAAAACTCAAGAATGATAACAGAATATCGATTCGAAACACAAAGCGGTGCATACAATGTACTTCCAATGAATTAAGCCATAGAAATATGAAAATTAAGAAGGCCAAATGGAAAAGATGTAGGGTTTTTGGATGAACCTACCGAGGAAAGCTTGAGAGTTGAGTCTTATCTGTTAAACACGCGGCTTTAAGCAGAGACCGAAGATAATACAGAGACTGGGAGAGAGTTGGGATTATATATATGGGAGCAGAGGGAAGGATGAGTGTTCAATTCGTACTCCAGAAAAGGTAATGAAAGTGATGCCGACGTGGCATAAGCTCCGGGTTTAGATATTTCTGACACTCTGACAATCGAAATATCTCTTCTTTCTTTTTTTACTTTAATATCCAAACACATCTCTATCAGAAAAATCTAAAATAATAATAATAATAATAATAATAATAATAATGCCACAAATATCTTTTTTTTTTCTTTTTTTTTTATTACTCTTAATTACATTTTTCCTATATTATATAGAATATTCAAACTAAAAAATTAAACTGTTGACTCTTTTTTATAATTTTTTTAATTGTGGACTAAATGGATTCTCTGAATTTTTAAAAAAGTTTGTTTAATAAATTCACTAAAATCATAAATAGATTGACTAATAAATCTTTGAAATTATAATTTTGTGCTGTTAATTTTTTTAACATAATAACAATTTTTGGTCCTATTCTAAGTAAAAATAAATTTAATTTAATTTCTATCTAACAAATTCATTAATTATTAAAAACGTTTAATATATTTGAAATTTATTAGACATAAATTTAAATAAATAAATAAAACTAATATTTTATATTATTTTTCTATTTGGAATTTTGTATTTTATATTTCTTAGTTAATGAACAACTTTTTTTTTTTTAATTATATTAATTTCACTCTTTTGAATATTGATAGAATTAATTTTTGGTCTCTAAAATTGAAAAACTATATTTTTTTTTTCCTTTGGTAGAACAAATTTAGAGTATGATAATTTAATATTTGATTTTCTTTGGGGATCAGTGAGAACGCTGACATTTAGTCCGGTGTCTGGCTCTAATATCATTTGTAACCGTTCAAGCTCACTGCTAGCAGATATTGTTTAGTTTGACCCGTTACGTATCGTCGTTAGTCTCAAGATTTTAAAATGTGTCTGTCAGGAAGGAAGAGGTTTTTAACACTTGGAATTCTTCATTTCCTTATTCAACCGATGTGGGATCTCACATTATCAAACGAGACTTAAGAAGCCTAATGTAGTAGACAATTCTTCCAGCCATGCAAATGGAACGAAAGTAATAATTGATTAAGTCGTATAAAGAACAAACGTTGTTGGAATCTCGGGAATTTTGTTTCCCATTGAAATTTTAATCAATTCATGGTGAATTTTTGCATTATGGTCCCTCAAAAGCTGTTTATTTTTTCTGAGACAGCAACATTGATATTAGCTAAGCTTCCATAATATCACCACCCTCACATTTATGTGGAAGAGATAGCTGCAGGTCATGATCAACAGAAGTCTAGAAAATACCTGTTGAATGATGCCATTAAAATGACCCATATATTATCCGAAAAATACCCATAAATTTTTAAAAGTTTCAATAATACCTTTAAATTTTACGACATATCTTTACAATTCGATGAAAGCTGTTTTTACCTTATTTAAAAATACGCATAAACTTTTAATAGTATTTAAAATACTATTCAACTTTAAAAAGTTTTATTAATATCATTCAACATTTTTTTAAATTCAGAAATAAATTCATGTTAATACTATATTTAAAAAATATCCATAAAATTTTTAACAAACATCTATCACTATTTACCTTTCTAAAATAAAAATAAAAGAATCTTACCATTAATATATGGATGAAAATCGTCTATCATATCAACATCTCATAGATTATTTATGGTCGTTTTAGGGATACTAATGAAACTTTTTAAAAATTTAAGAGTATTATTGAAACAAAGCCCGAAAACTTAAAAGGAAAAAGAGAACCGAAGACAGTTTATGATCAAAAGAAGTCAATATTGAAAATGCACAAATTCCTGATGGATAATGAATGGCTAGTAGTATGGGAGTTGAAGTAACATGACCAACAAGACTTCATGCATTTCTACCTTCGCTAGGCTATGAATATAGAAAATGCAGAAACGCTTATTGAACGATGAATGGCTGATAGCCTTTCAGTGTGGAAGTAAAATGACCCAGATGACTTCATACACTTGTAACTTCTGGAAACGCTATATATTTACAGTACACTAATAGTGTGTGTGTTCAGCTGGGTAATAAATTACAAATATGAAGCTGGATACTCTTAAAACTGTGGCCAATGCATACCTGATTGAGAACATTCACAGTTGATATCAAAATGAGGTGCCTTTGGCAGTAGCAGCCGACGTTGTGTATCCAACCAGCAGCTATCTTTCTTATAAAGAATGCGCCAAAATTGTCAATTCCTTTGGTGGGGCTATGAAGCTGGGGCTGAGTTCACTGACTGTACTGGGAGAAGAGATTCTTGATTGCCTCTTACGAAGATTGTCAGTTCCTTTGGTGCAACAACCATTCTCAACCACTCTTGCAGTTCTTCACCTTCTACTTTTTCTTTTTCTAGATGAGAAAACATAAATCAGAAACGAATATGAAATCTTCATCTCTAGTTTCGAGATAGATAAGGATTTCTTTGACTATCTTTTTATATCGAACGAGGGACGACAAATGATCATCTTTGTTTCTAGTTCAAGTTGCTACCTAGACCATCCTTTTGTTTCTATCTCTATCAAAATTCACGAAAAACCGAAACAAAAAAGGAAATCAGGACACTTGGGCAATATTCTCATTCCAAGGATAGAGGATAGATAACCTTCTAAATGGGCGCCCAGCCCTTCCAAGACAGCTGGGTTTGCACGCACGACTGAAAGCGCGATCTCGAGAGCAGATTGTAGCAATGCTTTAACCTCTCTTTGAACAAGATCAACAAGATGTCCCTGCTACATATATTATAATTAATATGGACAACATAGAAACATATACAATGAATTAAATATAAGAAAGAAATTGTATAAAAATAAGAACCTGATCCCTTCCCCAAGGAGCAGCTCCTCCAGACTCATCTATCCCACCACCAGCAAGCGTTGCCATGGACACAGGGCCTATTGTTTGGTTCAGACCATACTCAGCCACTGCTTTGTATGCCATGTCAGTTGCTCGTTTGATATCGTCGAGTGCGCCTGTTGAAATACGACCAGAAAAGGCTACTTCTTCTGCTGCACGTCCTCCCAAAAGCGTAACCAAACGGCCACGCAACTCATCAATGAAGAGCAAATATCTATCTTCATTTGTTGGAGGAATATAGGTAAACCCAAGTGCCCCGCCTGACCTTGGTAGTATGCTCAATTTCTGATTTAAAAAATCCACGAAATGATTTAATATTTCATGCTCGCACAACATTCACAATATAATCAACCTCATAAACTACTAAAGTGAGAGTAGAGCGTTAGTACCAAACAAATCAATAACACCACTTCCACATAAGGAACAAGTCAAATCAATTAGTCAAAATAGCAGGAATTGCTTGGTCTAGAGCCAAGTTTTCCTACTAGCAAGACAATCCAAAATTAGCACTAATGATCAAATATATCTTGAATTTGATGGCAAAAAAACACTCAGGAAAGACAACATCTTAAAAGAATCTTCAGTAGTAAGATAGACAAATTCAAGGTTAATCTGCACTAGAGCTAGAAAACGAACATCATGTCGTGCACCAGAATATTTCTATTTTTACCTCCACACGTGGCTGACCAGGTATAAGATTTGCAACAGCTGTGCCTACAACTGCATGACCAGCCTCATGTCGTGCAACTACAGTCTTCTCACTTCCTTGCAATTTGGCAGTCTTCTTCTCTATGCCCTGCAACAAACAATTTCCTTCAGTTTCTTTTAAAATATCCAAATTAAAAATCCCATCCAAATGCAAACAAGGCACTGCGTCCTTCAATCAAGAGGATCCCTCCCCGAATTCTCTTTTAGTCAATCATATCAACTCATCAGACTGATATTATTACTCCGTCCATCTATAAAATAGAGAATTTACTGAAAAAATGAGATGTTCGAAATAAACTGGATACCAAGAAACACTGAAATTCTCTCTCGGGTAGGCCCTAAAAGGAAAAGGAAGGAGACCCGTGGGTAATGAATGGGAAGATCAAAAAGTTGGAAGAAGAAAGGATTTTTTGGTAAGACGTATGGATCCTGACGTGATATATCTTCGTAATGAAAATAGAGTGAGACCAATAAAAGGTAGGATCCAAAGGCTCAGTCCCTTTTTAGTCCGCGACTCAGTCCCTTCAAAAAAGATGCTGCGCAGAATTGCAAATTTGCAAAAAAAAATCAGCTAATTAGCTCTACAGTTATTGTCTTTAAAAAGTTGATTATCTCCGAGATTGCTACCATTGCCCTTCTTTAAGGGATTCCTTTCCTTGTTTTTCTTTTGGGGCAGGTGCCTGTGAGTGTGTGTTTGTATGGCGTGTGTGTGAGAGGAAGAGAGATTTACAGCTATCGATCTCTCCACTGCTTGAATAAAATCTTCTTTTTCCACAACATTTTTGCTTTGTCTTCCAGCCAAAAGAGCAGCTTCATTAACCAGGTTTGCAAGATCTGCCCTGCATCCAGTCCAATTTAAATCATCCCATCAGACCACAAAGAACTAAGATTCAAGAACTAGAAACACGTCTCATAAAATGATGGAAACAGAATACAAAATACCCTGTAAAGCCTGTGGTCATAGAAGCAATATCAAAGAGGTTGACATCATCCGCAAGGGGGAGATCTTTCTTGGTAACATGTACTTTCAAAATTGCTTCCCTTCCAGTTCTGTCGGGTGTTTCCACCTAGAATGTTAAACAAATAGTGGAGACGACCAAAAACAAACAAAAAAAAGAAGACAAAGCTTAGATTAACTTTATCATCATTCAACTTGGGCAAGTAGCAGAACCGTAATAAAGGTCACAAACCATAACAACACGATCAAATCTTCCAGGTCGGCGAAGAGCAGGGTCTAAAATATCTGATCGATTGGTAGCACCAAGAACAATTACAGCAGCGTTGCTGTCAAACCCATCCATCTCCTGCGAAGCAATTTAAAAATCATTGAACTTATTGCTAATTAGCTAACATAATATATATTGGAAGCTGAAGACTCACGCATGGAAACCTACAGTAAGCAACTGATTCAAGGTCTGCTCCCTCT